TGGTATAAACAAGGGGAAATCTGCGGACGTGTGATATCCGCTCGTAAAAAAGAGAGAGAGAGAGAGAGAGAGAGAGAGAGATATAGAATAGAAAAAAAAAATGTTGCTTCGCGGTGCAGGGACACGATACATTCGCCTCTTGGCGTCTATTTTTATTTACTTAAAATCTCTTTTCGGCTTCGCGGGGCGGCGGTTTAATAGAGGGAAAAGATTTATCGGCGCGGTGACTGGGATATAAACTTTCGGCGCGGTCTACTTTTCAATCGGCGCTCCGCCGTTTCTCGGAAAACATGTTTACTGGCGTTTCTATCGGCCTTTGAAATCGTTGAATGCACTGATTTCGACGACGCGCCGCGGGACCTTGACAGAGATTCGCCGGGAGAACAAGTCTACCGGATGTTCCGGTTTTCGGGGGATGTCGCGATGTTTTAACCGTTTGATATCTGGAGCCGAAGGATTTTCGGTATGAACGTTGTTGTATTATTTATTACGTTGTAATGTAATGTAATATAATTGTGATGATATTGGAATAATATAATATAATATGATTGTAATGATATTATACTATAATTATTATAATAATATAATATAATTGTAATGATATTATAACTATTATAATAATATAATATAATATAATTGCAATGATATAATACTATAATTATTATAATAATATAATATAATATAATTCTGATGATATTATAATATAATATTATATTACAACGTAACGAACTATAAAATATTTCGCGAGTAGAAAAGCTTGAGAATCTGGATAAACATAATTGATTTGATTAAAGCAAAGGGTTATATATTACTTATATTATTATTTCATTTTAAATTCATTATATTAACGAATTTTATCAATCAGATTTATAGATTTATTATGTTTATGGTATTAGAGAGGATTGTATTTTATACAATTTTAGGTTCTGATAAGTAATTATAACAGACTATTTTATATTATGTGATATGCTTATTAATCATCGGCATTTCATTTAATTATCTCCGTTTAGATTGCTGATAAGTGACATTGTGGACAAGTTAAAAATATTGTCTTACCATTCGACGATCGTTGGCGCAGCACCCCTTTTCGTCGGCAACGTCTCCGGGACGTCCTGACCCATCCAGCTGCTAATGAAGCTCTCTATCCTTTGACTAGCTAGAATCAACATGACTGTGGACAGAACGCGTCACCGTTAGCTTTCGTCGAAAGTTTCAGCTAAATTATGCTCATTACTGAGCTATATTAATACTACGATCACAGGTTTACTGCTATCAAGAATGATTACCTTACGTGATTCCCTAATAGCATGTAGAATTAGCAATCGCATGAACTTTAACACTAGAACCACCGAGAATTTAATACGATTAATGTGAAATTCCCATAAAAATTGTAATAGATTATTTTCAGTTTCTTCAGACATTCGTTATAGTACTCAAATGAAACTATTTTCAAAATCATTTCGAATATTCGATGCTTCGAAGGTATCAATAACTAAACAAAAAAATCGAAACCAGTAAGTTTGACTGGTAGTTCTAGTGTTAATGAGATTTTCATTGTATTTCATAATTAATCTCTAATAATTTCTATACATTCTTCTCGAAATTTGATGAGATTTTCATTGTATTTCATAATTAATCTCTATTAATTTCTATACATTTTTCTCTACTTACAGATTCTTCAAATTATCATAAAAAAATTCATTTATACTGTTATAAACTGCTTATTTATCTTTTATAGAATTTGACCCAGTTTCAACTGTATAAGAATTAATCTACAAAACTCCTTAAAGCTACATCTCCATATCATCCATCACTCCAAGAGAACTACTCCAAACTTCACCAACAAATCTTCATGAAAGAGAATAAAAATATATCTGCAACAGGACGAAGTATAGGACGAACAAACGTCTGAAATGAAGTTTGCGGAAGTCTACCATAAAGAAGGCGCGTCGTACTCCATATTGATGCACGACCTTTCACCTGGTGTGAACCTATGAAGAATTATCCCTATTTCTTCGTTGCTGCGAAAGTACTGGTAGAATTCGTAAAATGAATTCGAGAATTCGAAGTAATTCGATAAATGACCTATTCGAAAATTATCAAGTGTTCGAACTAATTGGAAATGTACAGTTATCAAATCTATCTACAATAAGAACCATTACAATAAGCTATGGTAAGTTATAATAATAGTTGGTTTATAACAATCGTATGATCAATAATGTATGTTAATTTATTTAGCTACTTCAATTACTTATCCACTGTAAATACTATTAATCAATATTAATGTTAATATCGCAATTAATATCTCATATAATATATCTCTTAAACTATATTAATCTTAATATTGCAATGAATATCTAAAATAATATTTCTATTAATCTACATCAATCTATCACAATTAATATCTGGATTAGTACTTCTATCAATCTACACTAACAGCAATACAAAAATTTCTTCTTATTTCAATTGTATCCACGAATTAGTCACGTTCACGTGTGAATACCGGCAGACCAAACGGAAACAAAGGGGAAAAAACAGAAGAAACACGGTTGCATTCCAAATTATTTAGCCGTGAGTTTATCAAATCGAACCGGACTCGTTTCCTGCGACGTATTTCACCTTTCGGCACGTTGGGCGAGTCAAACATCGCGGGGCCCGGTTCTAAACAGTTTACAAATACCACTCAGTGGTCGGCAGGGTTTACGAATACCTTTCTCTCGCTGCCAATAATAGCCGGCGCGGTAATGCTCTAAATTTGAGTCATCAGCCACCATTACCGGCGGCACGATAAACATGTCAGACGTTGCCCGGCCGGAAACGTCCTGGAACACGACCTCCCTTTATCGAACCCTTTCCGTGGAATTCCATCAACGGAATTCCGAACATGCTGGAACGCGATCTATGCTTTCTATTAGATATCATTGCCTTTTTTATCACGTTGCTATGGCTATGTTGAATTTGCTGGTATTATCTTGGCGGACAATCGATCGAGACCAGATTTCTTTGAAAATTCCGGTGACATGTTGTTCATTGGGAAAATTGTTGAGAAAAATGTTTGAGTGATTGTGTTTTACGAAAGAAGAGATAATAATAATAGTTAATGGAATAGATTAGATTGAATGATAGACCAAAGTCAGATTTGTTTGGGAATGACATTGGCATTTCGTTTATTGAGAAAATTGTTGAGAAAAATGTTTGTTGTTAGATATTCTTCTTTGAAATAAATAAATAAGTCGAGATTGTTATATGAAGTTTGTTCTTAGGGAACTCCGTTTCGGGAGTAGTTGGCATTGAAAGTTTGTGTGGCGTGTAGCAGTATCTCTGGGAAGTGGAAACGGAAAGTCATGGACAGACGTGCGCGCAATAACGCGTGCTCGTCTGTAGGATTCCGATAACGAGTCTGTGCATGACTCACCGTGTGTATTTCTTGTAGATACTAATAGACTACGTTGGAACTTCCGTAACTGATTATTCTATGTTTTCGATTTAATCTTATTTAGCTAATTTAGGTAACTAGAAATCTAGGAACCTAGTAATTTACCAATCTACCAATTTACAGGTCTATAGATTTACAAATCCATAAGTCAACAAATCTGTAAGATCACAAATTGCCAAACCTACAAATCTATAAGCTCACAAATCTATAAACCTACAAATCTACAAACCTCCAAATCTACAAACCTCCAGATGTACAAATCTATAAACCTATAAATCTATAAAACTACAAATCTATAAATCTATAAACCTATAAACCTATAAACCTGCTAATCTAGAAACCTCCAAATCTAGAAACCTCCAGATGTAGAAATTTATAAATCTATAACTCTATAAAACTACAAATCTATAAACCTACAAATCTATAAATCTACAAATCTACAAACCTATGAACCTACAAATCTACAAACTTCCACATGTACAAATCTATAAACCTATAAACTCTATAAAACTACAGATCTATAAACCCACAAATCTATAAATCTACAAATCTATAGACCTATAAACCTATAAACCTCCAAATCTACAAACCCCCAAACCTCCAAACCTCCAAACCTCAAACCCCGAATCCACAAAATTCTCAAAACGTCACAATCACTCAACAAACATCCTCAACAAATCAATTCACAACGAACTCTTCGAAACCCGGAAAACCGGTCAAAGCCTCTACCACAAATTTCCCCGTAACATCTGGGAAACGGCTACCGACTTTCACCGCAAACCAATCCGGCTCCTGCGATTTTAACGCGACGCCGGGCCGGCTGGAAACCCGGCCGCGGATTTCGACTCGTGCTCGCCTCTCAAAGGAGACGCGAGGGCGCGCGACATCGTGGCGTCCTCGAAAGGCGTAATTGACCCGGAAGTTAGTCTAACGATATTTTGAGGGAGCGGAGGGCGTGCTGCGCGGCCGTCGGAGGTAATGCACTCCTCGAGGACGCGGAGAATTTCAAGAGATTATTCGGGAACAAGCCCGCTTAATCCCGGAGGCACTGGAACGCGGCGCGCTCTACTACAGATGTCGAGAACCACGTTTTACCGCGGCGATCGTCGACGCTGCCTTGATTTGACACCGCTAATCTGCTCGGAGATTGCACCGCGCCGTTTCCAGAAACCGCGATTCCTCGGCCCGTTGAAACATCCCTGAGAAACGGCCTGAGCAATTCCACGCGCGCGATTTCTGCGTCGTTGGATCTGACGCTGACTTCTGATAGGACTCAAGGATCGAAGGATTCGGTTTCGTCGATTTTTATTTAGAATGTCATTCTTTATAACTTGCTTCTCCCGATGTTTACAGACGATGCAGTTTTAGAAATTATCACAGCTTTTCTGCGTCGTTGGATGTGACACTAACTTTTGATAGGACTCAAGGATTGAAGAATTCAGTTTCATCGATATTTTCTAGAATGTCATTCTTTATAACTTGCTTCTCCCGATGTTTACAGACGATGCAGTTTTAGAAATTATCACAGCTTTTCTGCGTCGTTGGATGTGACACTGATTTTTGATAGGATTCAAGGATTAAAGAATTCGATTTCGTCGATTTTTATTTAGAAGATTGTCATTCTTTCTTTATAATTTGCTTCTCCCGATATTTATAGACGATGCAGTTTTAGGAATTATCACAGCTTTTCTGCGTCGTTGGATCTGACACTGACTCTTGATAGGATTCAAGGATCGAAGAATTCAGTTTCGTCGATTTTTATTTAAAATGTGATTCTTTATAACTTGTTTCTTCCGATTTTTCCTTTATAGACGATGCAGTTTTAGAAATTACGACAGCTGTTATGAGAATATATTTCGATTGGAGGATTTTCTGTGATTCATTTGGTACTCATAGCTTCGAATTGCCCGTAATTGTATTCTGATGACCATTAACCAGTTAACTGTGGAATATAGTTCGGAAAACCTCTGGTTCTGCGCAATAAAATCGAAAAATGGAGCGTGCAATAAAATTGGCTGTCTATTGTCTATCTGATACTTTGTAGCCATTAAAAATATACTTCATGCTCATTCTCAACAGAAATATCAAAGCGAAACAAAGAATTACATGTTTATGTGAAAATGAAGAATTCATGAAAGAATTAGTACGTCAAGCTTCACGATGACGTGTATACTCGTCAAACACGGTTAACTGGTTAAAACTATCTAATTCTGACAGTCCCCAGTTTCCTCTACAACTTAGAACAACAATTGTCTAAACATCATTACTGAGTCTAGCTTCTCTATAACAAACTCCTAATCACCACTCCCTCCACTGTCTTAATTCCCATTAGCGACCTTACTCCCGTGGACACGAGAATATCAATCATACCCTAGTATCATTAATATTTCCCCTCGCTGCCATCCGTTACGGTTCACCCAGCGACTGTTCTATTCATAAAACAAAGCAGCCACGCAGGTAAAAAGCAAATGAACGAACACGGAAGCCCATTCACCGAGGCGCCGGGAAGGGCGCGAATGGGGATCCGGGGCGTGTACTCACAAAGAAAGGTGAAGTAGGAGGCCGAGTGACAGATGAACTTGATGAACGGTTTCCTCATGGTCTGCCCGACCACGCTGTGCGGCGCGATGATGTACGCGGCGCTGTAGAACGGGAAAAGGATGCCGATCCTGACGATATCCACCGCCTGCAGGACCATGTTTTTCCGCCGGAAACCCGGCAGGCCCTCGTACCAAATCGATGCGAGTAGCTGCTGCACGTTGGGATGCGCCACGAACTGGAAATTCCAGGATAATCTAATATCGGCCGACAGTTTCCGGTCATGTCGCCGGGAAATTGTACTTATTACGGTCTAATCCCGGAGTTAGGACTCGTCGCGCGACCGATCCCTCCGAGGCTAACGAGATTACGCCGATACCCCGCGCGCCGGACGGATTCCTTCGGGACGCGATTGAACTTTCGCCGGGGCACACAACCGGATCGCGGCGGGGAATCAAATATTTACGGGATCCATAACCGATTCGGGAACGGTGAGAAAGATTCATCGCGACAGCCGGTCCGGGCGAGTTGCGATTTTTATGAGGCTCCTATCCGGAGAGCTGTCTTACGGGATGCCGAAATCGAACGGCAGTTGGAGAGCTTAACTCTTTCGGGCTCGGTGGAGTGGGAACTGACCTACTCTTCGCTTTGCTTTTTAGGGGATGTATTTCAACCGGGAAGTTGCTGTTACTTATAGTTGGACCGTTTGCGCTTTATTTCGAGCGTTTCCTTCGGTTGGCGACGCTGTGAAGTGAGAGTACATGGGGATGAGGGAGAGTAGTGTGTTTCAACCTGCTTAACACTGGGTTTACGGAACGCGTGAAATTGAGGCATGTTGGATTTTAGAAATATTATTTTGTAAATGTTTACGCCGATTTTGATTGGTCACACATGTACCCCAATTACTATCGAATCTCCAGTTTTCACAATTTAAATAAACGGGCATCGATTCTTTTAGGAATAATAGAATGAAGTGTAGAATAAATGACTGTAAACCTAGTGTTAAATTAGAACAATATGTTTCTCGAGATTTGAAGGGTTCCTTATGATTGTATCTGAATAGGGAAATTTCTTTGACAAATATATCTTCACGTAAATATCTTATAATGTAAGATTGAAAGTTATATATATTATAGACGTTTAGTTGAACCGTTTTAACCGTTTGGATGCCAAATAACTTTTGTGGATATTTACCAAAAATGAAGTGATTAGGTGTGTGCAAAAAAATTAATAAGAGTAGTTATCTAATGAGATCACAAATATTGTGTTATTACAAAAAAATATTAAATATAATATTAAAAAATAATAATTTGATTTATTTCTTGAAAAACACAGTAAGAAAATTATAATCGATACTGATAAACAGAAGCGCCTCGGCGCTCAAATTTTGGCGCAACACAAGAGCGCTATAGCGCTCCTCAGCATTCAAACGGTTAATAACAAAATGAAGTAATCAGGAATCATTCACATCCGTCTGGTAGCTCCAGTGTTCAGTGTAAAATAGGTTAGAAAACAGACACGTGACGGTTTACCTTCTTCTGGCGGAATTTAATGGCAAGTTTGAGTCTGTTCAAGTGCATCCTCTCGCCGTGTTCGAAAGCCGGCCCGGTGGGGTCGTGGTTCAGTAGGATCTCCAGCTCCTTGGAACTTCTGGTGTGATCGAGCAAGGCAGTGGCGAAGTCCTGGCACTGTCTCCTAAGCTCCTGCAAACGCAATCCCGCGCCGGGAATGAGACTCTCGTGAATTCGAGGCGAGCAACAACGACAAAGTCGCGGAGGGCGTAGCGATTCTTTAAAGGGCGGGCTTGTAACTTTCGCCGATCGTCGGTTCGTTTGCCTTTCGCCGCGCCCCGGAGGCAGGTGACGCGGAAACTCGAACACATGTAAGGGGAAACGGTGTCGTTCCCCCGAGTGCCATCGAAGTTGGCGTCGCAGCCAGCCCCGAAACTCCGTTGCCCGAACAGTTTCCCCAACTTCGCCGGGAAAATTTCGAGCGGAGTTCTTCTTAGACTTTTAAAGGACACCCGGCGAAACCGTGGACTTCGTTGGTTGATTGAGTATTCAACGACGATGCAATAAAGAAGTTTTTTTCCCCGGCGCTGCGCGGACTAAGTTAAAGGCAAACAAACAAATCGATTCTTCCGAGTCGGCGGAAGGTCCTTCGAGGCGGAAGGGACCTAACGAATATAAAGGAGGAAAATTAACGAACGGAGGGAAGAAAAATTCGGGAAATCTTCCCTTCGACGCGGTAAGAGAGAGTTTAACAGTGATAAATGAGTCATTGCTCAACTTCGTGGATCTTGGAAGAGTCTTTTAACTATTCAGCGACGATGTAATGGAATATTGAAGAAGGGAAGGAAGAAAGAAGTACAAACTGAAACGTTCGGTAATCTGGGAGAACCTTTTCCTAGAGACAATGCGAAGGGCGTTGGCAATGATACTGAATTAATAACTGGATACTAGAATAAATACTGGATCTTAACCCTTCGCACTCGAGAGGTGACTCTCACCACTTGATTCGATGCAACAAAACTATAAAGTTGCATACTTAGCCCTTTGCACCCGACAATATTTTTCATTAACCTCTTGCCTTATGATTTAATTCTCAACTCTGATCGATACAACTACTTTATTATTAATTATTTATTAAGAAGAAAAACAGATTTAGAAGCATATCCTATATCAATCTTTGCTCCAAAGTATAATAATTAATACTACAAGAATAATATTAAATTTTAATTCAAAGGGATCGAATAATAGCTAGTTCGATTCTATTTAAAATCTACGTTACGTGTCTGACACGTTATTGTAAGGCAAGGGGTTAAAAATATTCACTACTTACTGACTAAATATTAACGATATTCTTCACAACTAACGCAATTGATTATCTTATGTAAATTAAGAGACAGAACTATTTTACTTCGATGTTTTACGTGTTGATACATTACGCAAGGTTTAATACTGAATTGAAAATTTCGAGTGGAAAGGGTTAATTATCCAGCAATAATGTATTAAAAATAAACTGTAACAGAAAACCAAAGAAACATACGTAACCTTCGAAATTCTTTTTCTGGACAGGATGCAAAGAGGGTGAAACCGGTATGGAACAATGATTTAGTCCTCCCCGGTGCTTACCGGTCATCTAGATGGTTTAGACGATCATCCTTAGCAATTTCGCAGCGCAGCGGGCTTTATTGCGTTTAAATTGAAGGGCTAAAGAGGGTGGACCCGCTTAATGGCTTGGCAGAAGGCACGGGGTGGGATTCGAATCGCGGCGAGTCAAAGGGGAGGCGAGGTTAAATTGGGCTGCGCCGGTATATCGGTCGGACGTCTGTTCGATGAGACGGCGGTTCGGTAAAGGAGACGTCAAGATGCCTCGGTAGACCGTCACTTGGGGATGGAAACTGGGGAGGAAAAAAAGGGACGGGTCGAGAGTGCGGGCGAGTTTTTCAGTTCGCAAAAAGGAGACCGACGACGCTCGGCCTCCTGTAATCTATTCTCGTTAATCGTTTGCCGATCCTCCGACAGGATTAATCAATTTGCTATCGGAGATGATTTATTTTCGACCGGGACATCGCGTTTGGGGAGAACCGACTGATCGACGTCGAAGTTCTGTCACGCGGATGAACTTTAACGCTGGAACTACCGCGCCCGACAAGATGGCGGGTGCCAGTTTTCTTATTTCGCAGCGGGCGATGTTCTCTCGGGAATTTTCAATAATTGAATAAAATTGGTAACGATATGATACTTGAGTGTTTCGATATATAGTGATGTATATTATATTACTATATTTAATATATAGTAACTTACAAGTTAATCTCACTGAAAATCGCCATTTGTACAATTCACAGAATTCAGTTTTTGAAAATTAGCTGATATGCGATGTGTTAACACTTAGAGCAATACCGAACCTAATCTGTAGTGAAATAATTGAGAATTGAAGTTTCGTGGAGCTATTATTCCTAATCGACCATAGAAATGTCTTAGTCAAGAAATCTTAGATTTAGCACTGCAATCATATATGATAAATGTTTAATATTTTAAATGGTTATTAGATTCTGGATTGCAATCGTTTCTGTTAAGTAACCATTATTATTGTAAATGATTGTTAGCAGATGCATTGCAGTACTTTCCGTTGAATAAGCTTTTCGTGGTACGCTGCTATTTGGGAGACAAAAGTCCTGAATAATTCCTCAGCATCGTCTAATTGTCTGGAAAACGAGGTTTCAAGTGAAAGAATCATGTTCCACGCTTTTGACTTATTCCTCCGCGAAAATCACGCTACTTTCTCGGCCCTATCCCGACTTCGAGATAGCTCGGCGCGCGCTCCGTACAAATGGGGGCAATTTTGCGGTAGGAATGGGGCTGGGAAATGTGAAACAGACTGAAAAGATTAAAATTCACGCGCGTCCTCGTCCAACGAGGCCGTGCATCGCGGCTCGGCGCCAATGCAAATATTTACGACATCAAAGTGATACACGGAACGACCGGAATGTTTTCCTAATATCACGGAGTAGCGGCCGTACTTCGCGGTCACGGGATTTAACGAGATGTTAAGTGTTACGCGACCGTGAAAACCTCGGTGAAGAATTACCATGTTAAATTATCATCGAAAAATCGTCGATCCTGGAACTCCTATAATTTTGTAATAAAACGCAGTATAACATTTCGCTTCTGCTCATTATGACGTATGAATTTTCTACTTTCATCTCCCATAAACCACTTTCTACGATATTCTTGCTTCATATAACGGATGGGAGAGTAAACACCTTAACAAAATTGTCAATTCTACAAACATCGCCGATCAGAGCCATACGCATCTACTTAATTTCAAAAAGATTAGCTGAAAACAACCTTAGATAAATAACAAATGCATCAAGATCCAGTAGTCAGTAATATAATACAACATTGCATAGAATATGAAGAACGTTCAGAGGAAGTTTGTCTCGATTTTACGAAAATTGCAATCCCGTGTAAGAGACGTCGTTCCATGGGAAGTATTCAAATGTCGGCGGAATATTAACGATATAGACAGTTCAACAAGTCAGTTGAATAGTTTGTAAGCCCGTTCAAAGTCAGTTTAAGAAGTAATTCGATGAAATTAGGATTCAAAGTGCTCCGAAGTTTTCCTCTCGCCGGAACGAACTCTCGTAGTCACTTTGACGACATTACAACGCGTTGCAAGACAATCGTGAGGGTATTTCGAGACGTTTCGCTCCGAATCCCGTTTCCACGTGTTCCCCGGTGTTTACTCGGATTAACAACGGGCGCGTTCGCGACGCCTTGCGTCAACAAAGTCGTCCGTGAGAAATAAGCAGAGTACCGAGCGAACTGGAAGACCCGTACAAATCGTTTCCTGCACGTTCGGCTTCCTTCGCATTCAGTTGCATCGTTTCTTAATGACCTGATTTCTGACCTATTTGCTGGAGTTTTTGTATCATCCGATTTCGCTTTAACTTCGATTATTATTTTATGATTGATTACCTTACAATTGGGAATGATAAAAAAGTTGGGTAAGTGACATTGATTCACCGATGTAACTTAAATTACGAGGTTCATTTGTGGAAAATAAGATTGATTACAACTGTTGACAGATTCAACAAAAGATAGAAATTTTATTGGATCTAATTCAAAGGTTTTTGTCGCTATTTTTAGCGTTTTGAGGTTATTTTCGTTTATCCAGAGAAAACATTCAAAATGGAGTTATTAGTGCCGGCTATCGATAAAGCAGGTTTCTAATTACCTACTTGCAGCTCAAAATGGCGAATGATTATTAGGTTTCGTTTATTCAAGAGAAACTTGCAAAGTGTAACGGTTTGAATGAATATCGAAGTAATCTAGATTTCGTAGATAACTAAGTAGATGACTGTACGTTGTTTAATATATCTAATTGTACAGTTTCGTACTAAATCATTTGCTTCAGCGCGCAAACGTCGAGTTAGGAAATTTCACTGAAAATTAACCGGCGAATCGAAAGCTCTGCTCGGCAGCGTACGTCATTCGGAAGGATATATTTGACTTTAAAATGAGCTTGTAACTTCCATTCACCGACTCCTTACTCCTCCAAGGACTTCTTTGAAACGTTGCGCGTTCGCAACGGCAGTTCGTCCGAATCCGACGTACTTTTCGAAGCACGCGTGTTCCCGGAATAAAGAAAGTTTCCAGTAGCGTACAACTTTCTTGCGACATAAAAACAGCGTGGCGATAAATCAATATCCTCCTTCATTTTAAATTTACCGTCCAATTATTCACTTTAACCTAAAATCTAACGAACTTCCCAATAAAATTGATGCGAACGACACGAGAACATTAATTCTTTGCACTTTAAAACTTTTCACTAGAAACATTCGACGCTTTCCAATGCTTTGTAAATTAAGAAGCAAAGCTATTTTATATAAATATTTCACATTTCGATGCATTATACGAAACTTAATATTACACAGAACGCTTTGTAATCTCATTATATCGAATCAAACGATGACTAACAGTCGCCTCTCGAGTGAAAAGGGTTAATCTCCTAAGAACGATCTTAATTTCTCTCGTCCTTAATCTTTATATCAATCTTTGCCATTGTCTTCATTCGGCACATTTATTTCAATTACGAACGCTAAAAGGGTATTCGATCCACGGAAACGTTCCAACAAAAACGGAGCTTTAAAGGAGACGATACTGGAGCGTATTTCAGAGCGTAAAAGCTTAAAGAAGGAAAAGCGTCTCAGTGACCGGAGCGACCGTGATACACTATCAATTCCAAGAATCGTACGTCTAGATGGTCGGAGACAGCCGTGTAATCGGAAACTTCTCCCGGGGATCGATGGGACTTTAAATAACGAGTAAAAAGGCCGGGCGAACTTCCGGTGCACAAAGCGCCGAATTTCAAAGCTCGGCGAATTCCCGGCAGGAAATCTGGAAGATATCATCGCGGGCAGGAATATATCTTGTTCCGCGGAGGGAACAAAATAAATGACGAGTATATTTGGAAAGATGCTGGAAAGACCTATCCGTTTCAGTTCGCCCGCTTTTCCGCGGATTCTCAAAGACGCGATCGTCACAAGGCTTCGGTTCTATTCTTCTAATACCTTCGGGAAACGTCTCGCCTGGCGGAACGCTCCGAGTCCCGTCGATCTATCCGCGCGATTGCTATCGAACGCGAAACTGAGAAATGGAGAGACGAAACTCCATTTCAGGTTGAATTAAAAGGGAACCGTGTGCTACTTATTCAGCCAATGGAATCTATACAATCTACGAAGAATGCAATCTTCTACCTGGAAAACTTGAGAGAATCAAATAACCTAATTATTTATATTATGTTAACACTAGAACTATCAGTCAAAACAACTGGTTTCGATTTTTTTGTTTAGCAATTATTGATATCTTCGAAGCATTGAATATTCGAAATGATTTCGAAAATGAATAGCTTCATTTGAGCACTATAATGAATGCCTGAGGAAACTGAAAATAATCTATTGTTACAATTTTCATAGGAATTGCATATTAATCCTATCAAATGCTCGGTAGTTCTAGTGTTAATGAGTCTCCTACTTGTACTTTCCAAAGTTTCAAAAAATTCCAAAGAAATGACCGTGGCATCGTCTTAATAATTCCCCAGAGAAACCTGTTATCTTTTCGATAATTGTAAAAAAAATTAATCAGACTGTTCTGCCTCTAGCTTAGTATTAAAGAAAGAAGCAAAATCTGTTCGCAGTAAAAAAAATCAAACGTTTCTCGCAGTAGTAAAATAAAGGACAGGAAGCCTACACTTCAGCGATTCTGTTCCCAAGTATTCCTTCAGAAGCGATCGCCGCTCACCCCATTCGTCCCTTATTTACGGGGAGCGTCGTATCTGGAGGGAAGCTTCGGCTTTCCCCGACAAATCACCGCGATCCGTGTCGAGCGCGGTCCCGGTGAACATCGAGCGAGACACGCGAGGCGATACAGGCGTCGCGGAAGACAACGACCGGATGTGTTACCGTCGAACTCCTCTTCGCCGATTCTCGGCGGATTCCGGGACCGAAAAGAAAGCAATCGAACGGGAGACGGGAAACTGGGACAGACAGCAAAGGACGGCGAAACTTCGGTGTTCGCCGGTTGTTTTATATTTCCTCCCGTGGATTCGCAGCCACTTTTTCGCGCCGGGATCACGTTCCCACGGGCAAATTGAATTCCGCGGTGTGCTCGCCTGCGTCGCCGGAATTACTTCGGGATTTATCGTTATCCTTCGAGGCGTGCGATAGACGGATCAGATTGTTGGAAGTGTCCCCTTAATTGCCCTAGGGTTTCTCTTATTTCTTAAGTTAGTGGCTGAGACTCGGCCACTTAACCTACTCGCGGAATAACGTGTCCGACTCGTGGCGTATTGATAAATGTTAACGCACACTGGCAACGAAGATTCTCGTTTTTCTATAAGGACACTTTAGTAACTCTGCTAATTACCTCAGTATTTAAGGAAAACATCTTACGTAACAATATGATACTTGAGTGTTTCAATATATAGTAAGTTAATCTCACTGAAAATCTACAATTCGCACAATTCAATTTTTGAAAATTAGCTCCAATTAAATCTGTAGTGAAATCATTGAGAATTCTAGTTTCTTGGAGAGATTCCATTAATCGACAATAGAAATGTCTTAGTCAAGAAATCTTGTATTCTAGACATCATCTGTTAAGAGATTTCATTGCTCCATTAGTAATTGAAAAATTGCTCATCTTTTCCCCGATTAAAACACTTTTAACTAAAAAGAAGACGAAATACTTTGGCTAATACAACATTTCTATACTGCATTAATTTCTTCATTACATTCTCCCTTCTTTCCTATTTCACGCGGCTCGAAGAACCTAATCAATTTTTATAGACCTTCGGCGACCTGATTCGCCCAAACCACACTCAGTTACATCCTCAAACTTTTTCCGGATCTTTTACTGGCTTTTTCCACTTCGTGACTCCCGTTGGCTTTATCTATACCGCTTCCTGTTTCTAACGTTTTTTTCCAAGATTCCGCGCGAGCCTCGCAGCCCTTGCCGAGCGTCCGCCGACCAGACCCTCAGGAACCTGCACCCTTTCTCTCTTTATTGCTTCATCCCTATCTCTGAACTCTCCGCGTTCTCTCCTCCGCTTTTATTGTCCGCTATTTCGTTCCATTTTATTTCCTTCCTGCCGGTGTCTTCCCGCTTTTAGTTCTTTGTATCGCAATTATCTTTTCGCTGGGGTCAGCTGAATCGTTCCATTGTAAACAAGTCCTCGGAATATGTTCGTTCTCCTCGTTGAAATTATTTGCATTACCCCTTTGCACTGCGAGTTTCACACTTTTCTATTATTCTGTATTAAGTGCTTTATTTTCAATGTATTTCGAAAGATAGTTACTTAGTAGCAAGCGTAAACAATTCGTTTTACTAATACTATTCAAAACAACATAACACAATTAACACATTGCCTACCGGCTAATTTTTAGAAAACTGAATTGTGATGGCAATATTCACTGAGGTCGACTTATGTCACTATACATAGAAAAACTCAGATACTATATTCTTATGTAATATATTTTAAATAGATTATCGATTCGAATTCAATTTTACATTTTCTCGATGCTATGGTAATTAGCAAAGTTGCATAGCTAAGTGTCTTCACATAAAAACGAGGTTTCTCGTTACCGGTACGCAATGTGTCAACCCTTTGCACTCGAGAGATCTTCCACTTTTCACTTAACAACGTATTGCCTTTTATTCTGTTTATCTTTTCTTGTTATTCAGTAAGTCTTGAAGTGGGATTATTCGAAATTCATCAAATACGGTTCGTGTTTTTACAAAACACAGTTTCGAACCGAATTCATTGAACGAGTTCAATTGCCTAAGTGTTAACACATTGAGCGCCGGCAACGTATCGGCCACTTAGCCCAAACGCTTCATTCGCTCGTATCCGATCAACGAGTAGCCAACAAAAATATTCAAAACATACATTTTCGTGAAATAGTACATCTTAATTGCATATTCGTCAAATCCCGAAATGGAAATCCAGAAATCCGCATTATTGCGGCGCTCAATGTGTTAAGTTTATTCCGTAGAGTGATGCATTTCAGAATCGTTAAGATCGCTAGTGGTAGATCGTCGCGATCAATAATCTCTTTGGATTTTTGCCAGAGCCTGGAAGAAAGGGCGTGGGGCAAAGATGTGCGGCCGAAGAGGAGGGCGTACGAAAAGAAAAGAGTTCATACCGAGGGCAGCGTGTCGCGAATGGACCGGCGGGTGATTTATCCCTGTATAAATCAGAAGTTACACCGACACCTTCGTCTAGGCGAACGGTTCGAATTTTCCTATTTTAACGTGCTGCTTTCTCTGAAAATTTTTAACCTGCTTTCTCATTCTTTCTAGCATCATCGTGTCTCGTCGTTTTCGAATTAACCCATTCGCATCATAAGAAAAAGTGGAAAATTGGTCCTCACAAATGTTTCAATTGCATCGAAATAGAAATGGTTCGAAACGTATAAAAAATTAGAAACCTATATAGCCACACGGCATTTATTGCATTTATAAAATGCATCTTTCCTTTTTTTTATGATATACGAATTTATCTTTTTGTGATATAAGAATTTATAATGTTAATATCAGAGCTTTTTATTTCGAATAAAATAGTTGTCTTTAAATTAAAAAACACGAGAAGTCTTCCTAAAGACTTCAACGAATTGAATATTTGTCTTTAATTGTTGGTAGAATTGGACGGTTCGATGGGTTAAAGACAACGAGTTGGTTTTCACGGTAAATTTATCTAGCTTGTCAAAAAGACGTTTACAGCAAGATAAACAGCTTTCTTTCGGTCTCACCTGGTATTCGCACTTGAATTCGTGCTCGAGGAAGGAGAGCCTTCGAAGTTCCCAGGACAGTTCAAAGGCAGTCAGAATAGGATCCTTTGAGGATAGAGCTATCAAGGACGGCGAAGCCAGCGCCCTGTAGGCGTTGATCCGGCTTCTGGAATGCTTCAGGGAATCGTCCTTTCTGGACGTCACGCATTCGTCGCACCTGACAATGATAAAAAGAAGAAAAATACACTTCGGAACAGTTCCGTCTCTAACACTAGAACTAGGGGTAGTTTTTATTTATACAGAAGTTTTTGTTGTAGACATTTTTAAATTCTTCGTATAATCTGCTATCTTATGAATGTACAAGGAATATTTTGGAGATTAAATTAACCAATTTTGGATAATCATATTATAAATGGTTACAATCTAATAGTTTAAACCTGTTATAATCTGTTATCTTATGAATGTAGAGGAGAAAGGATGTGTTAGAGAGATTGTTCATATTTTTTAATACTAGAACTACCGTACCAGTCAAAATGACTGGTTTCTATGTTTCTGTTTAGCAATTATCGATATCTTCGAAGCACTGAATTTTCGAAATGATTTTGAAATTAGATAGTCTCATCTCAGTACTATAATGAATGTCTGAAGAAACTGAAAATAATCTATTGTTACAATTTACATAGAAATTGCATATCAATCGTATTAAATGCTCGGTAGTTCTAGTGTTAACAAAACGTTCACACTAAAAATAGAAATTCTTAACAATAAAAACAAACGAACTTCAACCGCTCCTCTAAATTAGCACAGATTTTATATTTCCATGGAAATCCGGGGTACTAATCAGCTCCGTTTAAACGTGGCAATCGTCAATCCCCCAACAATTTAGTAATTACACTCATCAGCGAGCATGTAACGTAATCAAGTTCGATTTGCATTAATTTGGTCTATCTCGAATTAATTTGATCGAAAGATTATTGGATGAAACAATATCGTTACGAATTTTTGCTTTCTATTAATAATTCTGTTCCCTTCATTGTTTTATTTATTCGTTTGATTTTTCTTTATTCCGTAAGAAACACGGCGAGTAATAACGACAATAGGGAACAATTTAATCGCTGCAAGGGGACGGGTCTATCGGATGGGACAAATCCTATAATTTAATTCGCGGGCTGAAATTTCAGGCTGATAGGGGAGCTCTCGCAGTGCATCTACCCTAACTTAATTAGTTTACGCGGGGTCTGCTCGAAGATTGCAAGGGCAAGGTGTTAAACCGGGCCGGGGGAATTAATCGGACTGAAATGGTATATCTAACGAGCGATTGTAACCCCCCGCGCCCCCCGATCCTCCGGCTTTATTTACGAGTATAATTCCACCCTTCGTTAAATACGCAACGGAGTCCGAAATGTATCAGCTCGTTCTCGTTCCACCGGAGGCAACGGAACATTTCCTGTTTCGTGCAACTGTTCGAAATTTCTTTTTCCTCTGATAATTCATTTTCAACTGCACTTGTTCCCGTTTTTACAATCAATTCCCTTTGAGAGAATATCATTGGGAATACAATACAATGAAAAATTTCGCGAAATATACATTTCATTTATCGTTATTTCGATCTGTATTTTATCGAGTTCGTGCGATTAATGCAATTACAATGATTACCAGATTATAAGTCACCGGTAATTTACTTTTAATTGCAGTAATATGAAATGTAAACATTCCTATGTTTAATATATAATCACTTTCCACCATTTCCCCATTATTTGTCATAATAAGTTCACTAAAATTATCAAAACATTCCCTCTATCGAAACTAACACGTTGACTGCCATGGGGGTCACCGGTGACCCCCGACCAAATCGAATTACTATAGTACTCAATGAAACGACGATTATATGAAAACATTTCTATATTATAAATAATACTATGCATTGACATTCAGCTAGATGAACGTGGAATAATAATAATCCAATTCAGTCGAATGATTTACTATTGTATTTTCTCCATTTTGTGTACTTTGCTCCATGAAATCCTGCGGCGTTCAACGTGATAACCCTTTACACTTCAGAGACACCTCTAATTTAACACAGCAAAACTAAAGTTTCATATTTAACATTAACACTTTAACTGCCACGTCACCCGAATACGGGTGACGCCATTTTTAACGTAATCTTGAACATTCATTTTCTTGGTTACGTATCGAACATAAGTTTTATCGAATGTGTGAGACATAAGGAAAGTAAAGTAATCGTTACGAAGAATCTTGCCTCTTTAGTTTTCGCTTTGTTAAGAAAACTGTTTCGATTGCATGGGAGTTTTGATGGTAACTTATTTGGCAGTCGAAGCGTTAAACTATATAATACATCAATATACAAACTATTAAAATAAAACAGTTTCTCGATTCATTTCCCCAAATAAATTTCATACTCATAAATTTCAATTTTGGGAAAATAAATTTCAACTCAAACTTATTCTCCCAAAATGTCACAGCTCGCTAAACATATTGACTACTCCCAAACGTTCTGCAGTACAAAGGGTTAACGCTGATAGAGAAAAGGTTCAAAAGTATCATCGAATTTCCCAGCGCCCTATGAATGGAGGAAATGCGCGGCGCAGATAACACTCACCCACAGCGAACATCATGAGGCATGGGCAACGTGGATCCACGGTCCAGAAGGATCTTAATAATCTCGTAATTGTCCCTGTGAGCGGACAGAATCAGGGGTGTGATGTCGGGCGTGAAGGTGGCCGTGTCCGGCGGCACGGCTTCCCAACTCTGAAAAGCCGTAATATATAATTTCCTTATACGCGAAACGAAAACGACGCCGGCCGGCCGAATTCCCATTCAACGCGGCGGCCAACCGTTCGACGACGTATTAACACGTTCCGTGCCGTGTACTGAACTTTCCGTTCAATTGGGTATCGTCATTGTAAAATGAAGAATTTATTAAAAATGTATTACGCGGTCAATTACGGGCATCTTAATACTATTGTCGCGTTATTTGATCGTGAGGCGTATACGCGGCCTGAACGGACTGCAAAAAAACTGTCCGGCACGGAACGTGTTAACCAGTTAACTGCGTTTGACGAGTATACGTCATCTTAACCCCTTGGCGTACTATTCACTTTCGCTGTTAAGCTCGTGTAACATTCTATTATCAACAATTTGGAAGAAACGCAGCAAAATTTTCCGTTCTAGATAAAGTGGAAATTTCATTTGGAGATTACTTACAAACGATTACTGCAAACTTATAATCAAAACTAACAACTATTTTGCTATCAATTTATTAAGTAACGAACAACGTTGATTGTTGTTAAATTGGTCTAGAAATCTTCACGAGTCTCACTCGTCATTGTATGGCAACCGTTTGAGTCGCAAGCGGCGCGATGGCGCCTCTGCGTTACATTGTTCAAAAGTGCCAGTCTATTTCGTGGAATCAGATGAAGCTTATTTATTTCTTTTCTTTCTAATTATTCGTTTTTATTTTTGCTATTACTCGCCTAAGACTGGACAAATGTAACGATCGCCGTATTTAACCCTTTGCGGACGAATTTCGACATTCCGGCGAGATCAGATGTTCATATTTGGAAAACTATGTCGCGAACAAATGATTTAATTAGTGAAACAGCAAGAGATCAGCACGTAGTTTCCCACTTTCTGATTAATTAACTAATTGATATGTAATTTAACTTCATCTGTCGAAGGTTTTCTACATTTCAAAGAACCTCCGTCCGCAAAGGGTTGAAATTTGTCTTTGTAAAAGTAGAAAAGCGTCATTCAGTTTCTAAATCGCGCCGCTTGATATTCAACTAAGTTTTTGAAAAAACCGCTGAGACTCAAACAGTTAAAGCTTGAAACGATACTGTCTTTCAACGATGAATTATTCACTTTTTCAGATAAACATGTAATTCTTCTTTTGCTTTGGCTTTAATTAAAATACACTCTAGGCGCATTCGTCTTGCGCTTGACAAGTGGACACTTCATTTGCGCTGTCTGCTGCGCACAAAACGAGAGATCTTTTAATCTAAATTCCACAGTTATCAGGTTAAAATATATAACAGCGGAGTATCGTAGTCGGCAGCCAATTGAATTGGCATGTGAAGCGGAACGATCAGGGACCATTCGGGGCCAACCAGCCTGGCACTCGTTGCACAAAGGATTAAAATTTATCCGTAGCAACCACTCGAGTCGAGTCGAGTCGAGTGGAGTCGAGTCGGCGGGCTCTCGATAATTATTTTCAATTCAAACACCGACGAGTGTACCGTCGGGACGCTTCTTAATTGCTCCGTTTAGTTTACGAACAAGTGACCCGACGGTTGTTTTAATCAATTCGATAATGTATTGCAAATGAAAGGCG